GACCGCAGGATGGCGCAGACACCCGCCCGGGCTGGGCCCTCCGCGACGCAAACGGCGGCGTACCCCGAGTTGGACCATATCGCCGTCGCGGCGCAGCGCGCGCTGGCTGCCACCTTCCTCGGGCTGGAACTCCCCCTTGCACGAGCTCCATTCGAACGTTTGCCCTTCAACCCAGCCGCCTCCCAGCCCGTGCGTAGAGCCTCCGCTGACGCTGTAGGCCGCTACCTGCACCGGGACACGCAAATCAGAAACGACAACGAACATACCGCACCACCAATTGAGCGAGCGAAAGCTTCGCCATATTTCACCCGACCACTGTTTGAGGACAGCCGTGCAGCGGAAATCGGGTCCGGAGACTTCACAACGGTACAACCGGGTATCACAATATAGTGACGACGTTCGTTCGATGTGACATGATGTGACAAACAAATGCGGCAAATCCGGCACTGAAGGATGTTTGCACTTGCGTGCAAGACACAAAGTTGGTAATCATGAGGGGTGCAAGAACTCTTTGAAGACAGTTACTGACGATCACCGGGTGTCATTCGGCCGGCATGCTTGTAGTTGTACAGGTGCTTTTGGGCAGGGGCCAATCATCATGCGATTGATTATGATCGTGACCTGTACCATCCTGTACCTGTGCCCTTTGCTTCGCCCTTTCGGCTTCTGTTAGTGTGGTCAACCACGTTTGCTCAACACGCCTGGGCGCCGCATGCAGTCCTCTTGGCTTGGCGTTTGAATGCATTTTTCCGCCAATCTTGCACCAGCAGTCAAGATGCTTCAGCTTGAAACGGTGTCCATCAACTTGTTTCACCCAGGCCGGACAATGCGGTCCAGGGGCTGCCAAAGCTACCTCGGCGCAGCACCCGCCCAAGCTGAAATTTTATTTCTGTTTATAAAACCATCGAAACATCGAAACCGAGCTTCTCGGCGTGAGTCATGTGCTTTGTTTCGTGATGTCAGGTCTTGCTTGGGTGCGCAGTGGCATGGAGCTGTGATTGGTTTGGCCGATGTTGGAGCCAAGGAAGCATTGCAGGCATCATGCTTGTGGCATGAAGTCACGCATCACGTGCAAAACCGGGGTTGAGAATCTGATACCACCGCATCAGCTATATCTATATGTACGAAAGACCTTTATGTAC